AAGCAGTAACCCCTGACCGTAAGATAAAGCAACAAGATGACTTCAAGATGGTTTGACAGTATAGGGGTTCTTGATGCTAGGAGTTACAAGGTGCTTTGATGGAGAGAAAAGCAGATTAAACTCTCACGGTTATATGGTTAAAATGCTAGAGTCACAAGGATTTCAACTTATCATACCATCTTGACATCAGTCCCAAACGAAAGTTAAAAAGGACACTTACTTTAATTTACATATAAGAATAGCCAGGTGCAGTGCCTCATGTCCCTAAAAAAGCACTTTGGGAGGCCAAGGCAGGCAGATTGCCTGAGCTCCAGAGTTCAAGACCAGCCTGGCCAACATGGTGAAATCCTATCTCTACTAAAAATACAAAAAATTAGTAGCCAGGCACAGTGGCACATGCCATTAATCCCAGCTACTTGACAGGCTGAGGCATGAGAATTGCTTGAACACAGGAAGCAGAGGTTGCAGTGAGTAGAGATCGTGCCACTGCACTCCAGCCTGGATGACAGAGAGAGACTCTGTCTCTAAAATAATAATAATAATAATAATAATAATAATAATTTACATATAAGAAATGTGCTGAGAGCTTAGAAGTCTGTGCTAAAAGCATGAAGATGAAAATAGCAGTAAGAGTGGTAGTAGTAGAACTAGCAACATTAGCAGCTAGTATTTATGTAATAATATGCTATGTACTTAATGAATATAACCTTTAAATCCCAAAACCTTATGAGGTAGACATTATTTTTTCTGATATTGTAAGTCAAGGACATTAAGAAACCTGCTCAAGGTCACACACATAGTAAACGTAAAACAGAAATTCTTGGCCAGGTATATGTGTCTCCAAAATCCGTGTTTTTAACTGTTGCACTATTATTACTTCCTATATTAACAAAATACAACACTCACCACCAATGGCTTATAGATGCCAAGGCGTACTATGCCTGGTGGCACAGCTTTCAGTATTTCCACAGCTTCGGCAAGTGAGGTGTTGTCCAAACAGTATTCATTGACTGAGACCAGGCGGTCCCCAGGTAATAGTCCCCCACTTCTTTCTGCTACACCATCTGCTACCAGGGAGCGGATCACAATCACTGATCTTGTAGAATCTAAAGGGTCCTATGAATCGAGCAAAAAAGAAAGATGAGTCCATGCACTGAAAATAAATATGCAGCCTTAGGACAGCTTGAGTTGACTGATGAATCTTATTTGACCACCTACTTCATGTGTCTGGCACTCTGGTGATAATCTTCTAAACAGGTAAAAATAAACTAAAATCTCACTCTAAGTCAGGTATGGTTGTACACCTCTGTACCATCCCAGCTTCTTGGGAGGCTGAGAGGCTGAGGTGGGAGGCTTGTTTGAGCGCAGGAGTTTGAGATTAGCCTAGGCAATATAGCAAGACCTTCTTGCTAGAAAAAGTTTTTTTAATTAAAAAAATTAAAAGGCCAGGTGCAGTGGCTCATGCCTGTAATCCCAGCACTTTGGGAGGCAGGAGGATCACTTGAGCCCAGGAGTTCAAGACCAGCCTGGACAACATGACAAAATCCCATCTCTGCAAAATATACAAAAATTAGCCAGGTGTGGTGGTGTGTGTTTGTAGTCCAAGCTACCTGGGGGGTGGAGCAGGGGTTGGTGAGGTGGAAGGATTGCTTCAGCCCAGGAGGTCAAGGCTGCAGTTAGCTGTGGTTCAGAACTCACTGCAGAGCTGTGGTGACACAGCAAGACCCTGTCCCAAAAAATGAATAAATAAAACATCACGCAAATATCAGGTTATATCAAGGTGAAAATATAATCTTAACAATTTCAGTGGCATGTCTGAGTGCCCAAAATATATAGACTTCCTGTTAAAATTTTTGGTGACTGATATTTGGTTGGACCATAAGAGGTCTGGGAACAGTTGGGCAAGATTCTCTGACATTCTCAAGCACAGTCATATGATGGACCCAAGATAAGCCTGTCTGTTACTCCTCCAGAGTCATAAGTAAGCTCCAAGAAAAGCATGAACATAATCACAAATATAAAACGGGAAATGATACTCCGTTCTTATACCTTCACAGTAGTAAAGAATCCTATAAAGTCACGCAAATCCAGAAAAGACATGGAAACCATGGAAGATTCTACTGTATTTTAAAAAGTATATTTATAAATAATGTGACCTAAAATTATGATATAGAACCCTTAGGTCACAACTATTCCAATACATAGTTAAATATGAATTTATGAACAAAAGCAATGTACAGATCTTTCGCCCATTGGGAGGACCCCATATTTCTTGATATTAAACACTGAGGACAACATTGACATTCAATACACCTGGTTAAAAAAAAACAATTTATATCTCCACTATTGTTTTTTAATTTAACAAACTGATATATAGCACTTACTGTAGGTTGGGCTTGACAATCACTAATTTATCTAATCCTTACATCTCCAGGATGTAGGCAGATTTATTGTCTGTGTTTTACAGATGAGGAAACCGAGGCTCAGAAAGTTAAGGGAACTAGCCAATATCGCCCAGCGTATATGTGGCAGAGCCAGGATCCAACCAGGCAGCCTAGCTCTTAAGTCCTTACTCTTGACCACCTCACTCTGCAGCTTGCTCTGCATAGTAATGGTCAGAAGAAACGGGAAACAAAGAGTAGTAAATTGAGAAAAAAGAAATATTCATATGGCCATCTTATGATTGAGCAGAGTCTCTTAATTTGTCTTAACGGTGGAGGTGTACAGCACTATTACAGAACTTTTAACCTAGCAAGGGGGAGAAAAAATAAGGACATCCCAAACACAGCAGCATTCACATTGGTTTCTCTATGCTTCTCCCATTATTTCATTATGCACATGCTGTTCCACAAGGCAAGATATTGTAACCTGAGATTCTACTACTCTAGCCTCTCTTAAACCCTTCCAGAGAAAGTAGAGAAAAACTGCTAGGTTTTGTGTGGGAATTATAAAACTTTGGAATTAGCAAACTAAGAATTTGCCAAGTTCCCGGCTATGTCTGTTTGAAGTGGCTGATGATTCTTTTGAAGTTTTCTGATCCAGTTTTCTATGCCTTTGTGTTTCAGACATCAGGGTTCATTTTCAAAGTACTGCATGGAATTTTAACCAAATATGCCATATTTAAATCAACAAAGGCTACACAGCTAATTCCTTGAAGAATGTCTTCAAATGTAACTTATCTTGGTTTTTGCAACTAACCTTGCCTTTCTACCCCCGAGCCAAGAGACTCTTCAAAATTTTCTTACATGCTCTGATGTATAACACCACATATTTATGAAGAGGATTAAAAGTAAAAAAGAGTCCAGGGAGCTCACTAATAAAATACTGTTAAACTATAATTACACCAGTATTTTCAAGTAGAGGGAGCTATTGCATAGGAAGAGAACAGAAGAGAACCAAAAAGTACAGTGGCATATCAGCAGGCAATCGACGCGGTAATATAAAAGAGCTGTCTATTTTGTCACTGGCAACCATGAATCACAACACACTTTTCATCCTGAAATATGAAACCATTACATTTTAAGTTTGACACACTAATAAATAAGCTGTACAATTATTTCCTTCATTTAGGATGTCAGTTTTTGATGAAAGGCTTTTTTATTGGGGGGAAAAGGGAGACTACATAATGGCTTATTCCTCTCATGAAATGCACAGCAGTTAACATTACTTCATATTATTAATTTCTACACTTTCTCAGAGAAAACTGCAAGAGCAAAATATACCAAAAGCAAATAAATGGTTGTACTAAGTTGTTTGTGAACAATCTCTGCAGTTTCATATAACACCAAAATTTTAAAATACTATTTTTAACCCAAATAGGTGAGGAGGTTTTCAAAATGCAACCCATTGAATTGATAATTTAGGAACATTTTAAAGGAAGATTCCCCAGAAGGAAATGGAAATAGACTTCTACCCTTGAAAGGTGAACATATTTCCCTTATTGCCAGAAAAGTCATTGTAAGTACTAATTTACACAAAGTGAGGCCTTCTTTAGACCTCAAACTAGTGACAGGTGTGCTTGCTTACTAAAATGTATGCAGGTTTAGACCACTAGTTATGCTAAACAATAAATCCAATCTACCACCCCTTTTCCTGGATGACAGAACCCAAAGGCAGCTTCTTTGTTATTTGAGGGGCAGGGAGGGGACAAACTAGCCACCTCTGAAGATGCCCCATTATGTATAATCGCTGCTTCATTTTCTATGATGACTTTTCTGCCTCTGATTTCCCACGTAGCTGAATGAAATCGCTTTAATGAGTAACAGTCATTTCCTTTCATTTCCTTTACATCACATGTAGCAGCCATCCTATGGAAAAACAGCAGCTGCTACTGCCTACTGGGGTGGCTGCTATTCTTGAGGCTTTGCTGCATAAAAATGCTCAAAAACCAGCCTGACTCAGGCTGCTTCTCATCAGAAAGGTCGATTTTCTGAAAATACAGTGTACGACATTATGTGCATGTTATAGCAAACAAAATGTTATAAAGATACTTCTCAAAACCCTTACCCAACCCCGAGACCCCCAGGCATATTTACATAGATATATATATATGAAGCGCTTCACAAAGGTGCATGTTATTCTTGCACGAGGGTCACGCTGATGATCTCTGTATCACTACAATTTTAGTATATATGCTGCCAGTGTGCACACCCCCAGTAGCACCTTGCTGAAATTATTTTAACTGTCTTCCTACTAAAAACAAAGTCCCCATCAGTTTTTATCACCTTTCATCATAATTTCAAAATCTCTAATATTTCTTCTTTTGGTAAATAACACTGCAAGGAACATTGTATTTAAGAATCAAGATGCTGCTTTAGACTAAATAGCCAATAGAGGGCACTAGAGACCAATCATAGAACATGAGAAACATGTACTATGCGAGCCATTCTCTTCTGAAGGAATTTTCTTCCTCTTTATTCAAAAGGTTTATATTATTACACACACTGTAACAGTGTCCCATATGTTTGGTTCAACCCATTTACTTCTGAAAGTTGTACTCTACACCTCCTTTTTTTTTTTTTTTTTTTTTCAGTGAGTATCTACCATTAGTTTATCTTTACTGCCAGGATCAGGTTACCCCTCAAAATTAAACTATAGAAAATAGCTGATCCAGAAGCTGTGAAGATAGTCCCTGTGATTAAGACATACAACTTTTTTTTTTTTTTTTTTTTTTTGAGACAGAATCCCTCTCGGTCACCCAGGCTGGATTCTCGTGCCTCAGCCACCCGATAGCTGACATTACAGGTGTGCGCCGTCACTCCCAGCTAATTTTTGTATTTTTAGTAGCGACGGGGTTTTGCCATATTGGTGAGGCTGGTCTCGAACTCCTGGCCTCAACTGATCCTCCTGCCTCGGCCTCCCTATATCCTCTGAGTGGCATCAGCATATACCCAAGAGTTCCATTCTCCCCCTCACCCCTCCACTGAGTTGCTCACTAAGGCATGTCAGTTTTTTTATCTCAGCCTTTTATCTTTTCTGATTCTTCCTTTCCGTTTCCACTGCCACAGCCTTGGTTCAACATCTCGTTATTTCTGAGCAGCTGCTACAGTTTCCTGATAGGTCTACCTGTCTCTAATCTTGCCCCCATGAGTCAATTTTCTACAGAGATAATAGAACCATCTTTAAAAATAAAAAGGTGATTATAATTCCTCCTCTGCTTAAAATACTTCAGGGACACCTATTGCCTTCAGGATAAAGTCCTAACTCCTTTATTCTTCATGGAAGGAAAATCCTTCAGAACTGCAGTTCTGTCTCGTCTCTCACTCTCCCCACACATACCACTGCCTACTCCCATTTGCCCAACACTTTATCCCAGGTATTGTGAAATGGAAACTCAGGTATTGTGAAAGGCCTCGTCATGCTGCATGGCATAATGCAAGTCATTCCCTCAGCCAGGAATGCTCTCCGTGACCCACTGCCACTTGTCTAGACTTTGCCACCAGAGTTAACTCAAGTGTCTCCTCCAATGAGAAGCATTCCCTTACTCCTTGAAGACCCAAGCACTTCTTACTCGGTGATATCCCTAAACCTAAAAAGAACTTCAATTACAGCATTTATCATAATATATTTCCTTTACTGTTTGACCTTCTAGAACTAGTTTGGTCTTCCTGTTAGAT